CATCTCCCGACTAACCGGCGATGCTTACTGATTGGTTCAAAAGCGAGTGCTTAGCTAAAACATGTGAATTACGTAAAACTAAACAGTTGATCTTGTACCCAGTGTGGACTGCCAATGTACTATTGCCACTGCTTCTATTAAACTTCCATTTGCAATACTGTTGTTCTGAGTTCGGTTGAGTGTAACACTACTTATTATAGTTGGCCTAGAAAGGCATCTCGATGTATTCTGCTAGCAGATTCATCTGCCGGGCAATCTTCGCACTGAACATCTGCCACCTGCGAATGTAAAAGTTCAGGCAGGTCGACGTCCTATCCCGGTTACCCAGTGTGAATCGAGGCACTGCCAAACTAGAGAAGTCATCGGCTAATGAGCCATACAGGTGAAGTGACAAGGAGACGCGACTGATACAAGAGGAACCACAAACGACCCACTGAAACACATGTGGTTGTGGCACAATGACGGCGCTAAGTCCGTGGAATGTGTTAGCAATGTAGCGGACAGCTCAATGTTTCATGCAGTGGTGCCAATTGGGTGGTTCGGGTTTCTCCCGGTAAAGCAAATGGTTTGGCAGCAGTGTTCAAAGACGTCGTGGGCAAGCATTCTTCCTATAAAAAGCCATATACGTCCGTTTAACAACACTGTGACGTTGCGGGTATGACTCGCCGCAAATAAAGTCACTATCACTTGCTGCAGTCTTGTAGAGCATTGTATTCCAGCAAATTCATGTTGAAATTGTGGGATGAATTCGGCCCGTTTGACAACTGACCAAACGAAAGACGTATGGACTGAACAATCAATCACCTGCTTACAATGGGCGTGATTCCTGGAAATCGTTCCGTTGCCTTGTAGGTAGGCTATTTAGCCAAAGGATCGGGGTGGCGTTCGCTAAGTCAGTTCTACACTTCGGCTTTGGCAAACGGTTAGCACCACGCCCCATGAAAATAAAAAAAGCTCAACACTGAGCTCATCTGCCATTGGTTAAGCTTCTTACATCCACGCGGATTCATCACATGCTAAATGTTTAGTTGTCAACAATGCCCGCTACACGATTCCCGTGTTTATCGGTGTACTTCGAGTTCCTGCTGCACCGCGAACCACGGAATAGAACTAGTCACCCCCTTTCGACCCCGACCCTCGTTCCGTCTGGTTTGCTTCAATGTACAGATACACACCAATTGGACAGCAAGCGGGAATAGCGCGTACCCTATAGCCTCTCGACATTGATATCTGCTGTTTTTCTGAAACAGGACTGCAGAACCCCCACATTGTGTTTCAGTGGATATTCCCAACTACTTGCGGAGCCACATTTCACTTGCGTCTTTATGGTGGCACAGAAGTAACCCATGAGTTTGGAAGGTGTAGATGTAGCACCAAGTGGAAAGGCCGGAGCCGCACTGCTGGACTGGTTCCTTGTGCAAATCGGATTCGGGGCTCATATATCATCAACAGGCGTCAGGTTGCAACTTGTCTGTGATCTCAGCGCACGCTCATACTGAGTCGGTCTAAGACGGCTATTATCGATTCATGAGCTCTTGGGCAATGCTTTGTTGAGGATTTCAATGCAATGCAATGGTTGCTTGTTACCAGGTAAGCTGCCAGTAATTACCGGCAAGTGCACTCAGTTGCAATCCATCGAAAGACATTGAGAAACTGGACTTGCTTATAGGTGGCAATGATTGTCTCCGTACTATCAAACTGTGGTTTTGCTCGACGCACTTCAAAGGCTTGGATCTCTGCTCGCCCGCTGGAAAAGTTCGACTGCCAAAGATATCGCGGCAGAACCGGAATACCATAAGCAGCACCGCTCTGCCAACTATCTGATCAAACAAAGCATGCACAAGAAACCTGAGCCTTCGTGGTCTGATGGTACTTTAGAGATGGAGACCGTTATTCTCTTCGGCAAGACTCGCAGTTTCTTCCAACTGATTCGGTTCACTGGCCTCAGCAAGTCTGGTGTCAGTGAGGTTATTTGAGGTGGATGGGTCCCCGATCACCAAACAGCAGAGGCGTTCGGACCGAAGGGCCAAGTATTCGCAATTCAACTGCTCCTTACCGTAAATCCATCCATTGCTCACCTTATTTCATACCATTGGATCAAACCAATGAAGCAGAAACCTGCCTCGAGATCTGACACTTAAAAAGATTCAAGAAAGCCGGACTTACTCCGGAGCTGTTCAGGTATGACGGTGTGTCAAGCAGTAATTAGCTGATCTCGTTGTTCACTAAACTCCGGTATGAAGACAGTGTCTTCCACTGGAGGCGAATCATTCCTTATCCCGATTTCATGTATAAATCATCAAGGGATTAGTCTTATTTCGGTTGCTTGTAAGCTATTGGCATCCATACTGCTTCGCAGACTATCATGAATACGTGAATCATATTACCGTGAAGAACACAGTGCTTTCCGTGGATGCGTGGAACAAATCTTAGTGCACCGTTAACCGCTCGAACACTGCCAAATTCACATCAGGCCCTCTACCGTCGCATTCCCAGACATACGGGCTGCATTTGACTCGATTGATGGACTTGCTTTATGTCGCTGGTTGCTAAAAAATAGGGTGCCAGAGGATTAGGCCGCCATCCTAAGTGCACTATTTCTTCATATATTCGGCAGAGTGTGGGTCTACGGCAAGCTTGCCTCGCTGTTCCCAGTCAATAGCAGTGCGCGACAAGGTTGACCTACGTCACCATTCCTTTTCAAATGCAATCGAACAGGTGAGGTGCAGAGCCTAGAGTTTCTATCGGGTGAACGCGAGACCAATCCAGACTATAATGATGATATCGCCTTACTCGGTGACGATGCGTAGAGTATGCAACTTATTCTGAATCTTTTGGTAGTTGAAGCATCTAGGTATCGCTTGAGCAGTGCTGCTCCCAGATTGACCAACACCGCTCACGTGCTCACCCTTGAACAGATAGATAGTTTCGTCTACATTGAGAGTTATGTTTCTGATGAGCGCAGTCAGCAAGGAAATGTCTTCTTGCATCATTAAGGCCCGATTAGCATTTGTCAAGCTGAGACACTCGTAGCTTTGTCGAGGCGTCTACATCTCGAGAAAGAGTCCTGTCTACAGTGCCTCTGTTAGTTTAGTGATGTTATACGGGAGTGAATCCTGACCAACTCGCGTGGAGGATATACACCGCCTTCCCGCTTTCGACAGGGCGACATCACCTGAAATCGCTGATGTCACCTCTAGACACCATCGGACTAGTACTTCTTCCTGCATGAGGACCCAGTGCCAGTGGCTTGACATAATTGGAGACATGGCTCGCAACCGGGATCAGTAGAAGAACTGTGTGCATAATTGTATTGATTCACATATTTAATGCCTAAAACTTGGAAAACGAAAAAAGTAAAGAAGCAACGTATAAACAGCTTCGTTTTATTTTTGATTAAATAGTACTTCCGTTTGATTCTCATGGTTTTTCCGATGACTCCATGTCCACTTCTTGGACTGTTGACTATATATATATATATATATATATATATATATATATATATATATATATATATATATATATATATATATATAGTAAAGATTATTGGCTAGTTTTTGAAACAAATATGGGGAATAATAATATCTTCAATTTTCTTAATGACAACCACAGGGCTTGTTCGACTGCAGGGGATATACAAGAACTTTGTTATTACACAACATGTGGACGAATTCGCCAGGGAAATAAACTATCGATTTGGCACGAACAACTCAGTTGTTGAACCAATGATGGTGGTGTGCGTTGAAGCGCCCGGCACATATTACATCTTGTATTCATCCAGTTTGTTTCTCACCGTAATACACATGACTCTTGTGATGGATTATCTGGATCCAACATGAAGTTAATATGAAGATTAGACTTCTATTTTAACGTGAGTGATGGACAGTATTAAACTGGTCAAAAAGGAAAATAAACGAGACAGCAGCACTTTTCGAGCGCGACTCACCAACCCATGCTGATAAAAACGTGACGTAAACTGGGTAGTATGTAGTCCTAAAAGCGCACTGTAAAATATTGGTAATATAGCTAACAAGATTACTTTAGTGTTTGCATCGCAAGAGGAAACACAATTCATCAAGACAACTCGAAATGGTCTAAATCATCATAGGAATAGTAGCGTGAAGAAGACAGGTTATAAAGTAAAACGTTTATATCAAGAAAAAGCCAAAAAATACGCCATTCTCAGGCAGAAGATATGGTAATCAGAAGCGAGGAAGTGAACGTTGTTTATTATATCATCTATCAATTCGATAATGTGTAAGCATCGGTCTAACCTAGCTACTCAGTCAATTTCAGCAGTGTTTAGTCCTACAGCTAAACTGATCATCTAACTGGATGTGCAGAGAAAAACGCACGTCCAAGTCATTCCGAAAAATTCAAGGGGTAGCCTAGTGCGCCATGAGATGCGATAAGCAAAATCTACCAGCCTCACGAAATCCTAAGCTCGTGTTAGCGGTAGTTCATCCAGTAACGCTTCCTGCGTTTCATTGCTGTGATAGGTTGTCTCTCCGTTTCGACAACGGACTCGGGATTCCAAAGTCATACGGACTGATGCACACAAGTATGAAGATAAGAGTGAAAGCAAAGATGAAGTGAAGGAGTACCAAATCCGCGTGGTTTACGTATTCACCACATTCCTGCTAGTGGAAATAACCAAACGCGAAGTTCAAATGTGTTCGTCTGCCTTGAAGCGTCAATTGGGCATAGAACCTCTGTGATCTATTAAAGCAGTGCCGAGAAAGCAAAGCCATCAGAATACTACACTCGGTGGGCTAGTCGGAGATATTCCCAAGCATACAATTTTGAACACAAATCCACGAAAAGACTAGAAAAAATAGATGACTGACAAATTGGCAGGAGGTGCATAAAGTCTCATAGGGATTTAAGAAAGGAAGCAGCCACAGTTTGGCTTTATCTGGGGCGTACGCAGTGGGTGCAACATGACTAGGGTCATTCGTGACACAGCATTGCGTCAACGCAATGTCGAGTGTTCTACACGAAAAACCTGGATGAATGTAGGACGAAATATGATTGGGCAGAAATTTAAAAAAATCGAAACAGCGCTGTCAAAATGGAGTGTAAACTAAATGCCCGAATAGTGAGCCTGATTCCCATCTACTTACATGATGCACTGCTTGTAACAGTACACGCAAGGAAGTCGAAGTACCTGTAGGATACCTCAAACACGTTGTGCAGTAAGAAGAAAAAGTCGCACGACGGAAGATAACGAGATAGTCAGGGTAAAAGGCAATATTTTTATGGGCTTAGCAACCATAACAAATGGGAATATATACAAGGGTGCAAGGATGAAACCAGAGTAGGTCTACATCCAACAAAAGCAAAGAATCTGAAGAGGATAAGGAAATGAGTTAAAAAAAGGAATAAGGACCGAGAAACATTCAAAATCGATGCGGTGTAATGAAACTGAAAGACCTAGAAGTTCCCATCGTAATGTGTCCGTGTAACATCACGGGTGGGTTAGGTTTCATCGGTTCTATGCTTGGCCATGGGAATCGCTAAGCCCTGGTTTTCAGTAACGGTGACCTCGTGCAACGTGCCACGGAATGTGTAAGTGACGCGCAATCGTCGCAGAGCGCAAGCCTTCACCGGGGACCTCACAAGACCCATGCAAGGGTCGTAAAAACCTTGAATATCTGACCACCGGCCAGGAGGAAGACGCAGGCGGCTAGTGTTAACAAGCGCTTGAATGGGAACAGTTACATCCAATGTGAGGGGGCCAGCGACGTCTGGAATGGTAGGCGAATCACCACTTGCCGGCAGGCATCCATAGACAGCGCGGACGATAATCAACCCGCCAATGTGAGATTCGGCGTTTCGGATTCTACTAGCTGACTGCTGCATTAAAGACTGTGTAGATAGTGCCTCCCGCCGCCGACGCGCCAGTTCACCTTTTAATTTGTTACGGCGCACCATCTGAGCGCGCTCAAGTTGCTTGTTTAAATATGGTTCGTACACCAAAGTCCGGATGGCTGCGAATAGGAGGATGGGAACAACAAATCCATAGCCAGCTGCTACTTTGCTAGGTTGTTCAGAGAGAATAATGGGGACAGAATAAGTTTGAGTGCCCCTCTGAAGAGCTAACCGCACATTGACTCCTCTCCGTAAACTGAAAGAAAAAGATCCGGACAAACGTGAATAGACGGATAGGGAGCACTGCGCACCCATAGTGACTTCTACCACATCAGTAGTGTTAACATCCACAGAGCCGAAAAATCGCCCCTGGCTGCCGCGTTGTAGTTCAAGTTCGTCTTCGTCTGCCTTGACCCAATCTGGTCTTCGAGTATCACTTTCTTTTTTCTCAACACCAGATCCCCGAGGTGGATTCAGCCAAGGCCAAGAAACTGCCTTCTCAACGCGTACAGCAACACCGGAAAGCCCGGCGGCGCTTAATCGAACTGAGAGACGAACAGCGTACTGATCATTAGGTGAAGACCACACAAGCTCAGATGATAGTCCTGCATCCAAAAACCACCGCCACTCGAACCGGATCTGAGTACGAGGTAGGAGTTGAAACTGAACTCCGGTAGATAAGGCAGGGACGACGGCAATATGAGAACCCCTGGAGTGGATCGCGACGCTGTTTAAGCTGAAACCGAATGACCCGACGAGACGATCACCGAATGGCCTGCGAAGGCGGACAGCAAGCCCCGGACCTCGACCTGCGCGACCGTAGGATAGCTGAACAAGAAAGTGCAAATACACAGCTGATATTGGTTATAGGAATAAATTAGCATGGCAATACCAAAAGATGACAGGATATACCAACCTCCGTATCAATAGTAGTGAAACTAAGAAGCGATTTTTTGCCGCAATAATGGCGCCACATGAACATGCCTGAGCCGACACCCAGACCATTTCGAGCCGTGAGTTGGCCAGCAAGACTGATAGCGTTGGATAAAGTAATCCCAGCTGTCACCGACTGCGCGAGTTGTAATTGGTTGATGTAAGGTTTAGGAAGCACAGTCCGTTCATGCGCCGGTTCCTGAAGAATGAGTAAACAAGACAACACTGAATAACCAAGGACAAAAGAGCAACAGACAAACATTTAGATCACGAACACATTGCAGTCATAGCGATTAATACATGGGGTTACGATCAGGTTCAATGTTGATTAAGCGCACCAATGGAGTAAAGGACAGAACTGGACTGGCGATGAGGAGACCAAGGGAGACGTATAAACGATTGCAGCATCCAACCGGGAGATATGCGTAGCGCCCAAGTTGTATCAAACCAAGAGCATCTAATCAGCGGGTCAGAGACACAAGATAAGCACCTGAGACAAGTCTGTACACAACGAAGCCAGAGTGGTCGGTGAATATATCATAAGAACTGTGCGATCGAGGTCAGTAAGAGACGTTCGTGTACACACACTGTGATGAGAGAAACCAATACGTGAAACATAGCATAATCAGGTGGCAAGCGTGATGGTTAGAGGTGTGGAACTGAATACAATGATCTTTATTGGTAGCTCGACTAAAATTCGGATACAAACACGAGTCAACGAATTGACCGATCTGTTATCCAAGAATCGGAAATGTCTAAGTATCGACCTACTAACTGAGCAAACAAAAAGTACGCAAGTAGTATCCGAGTACCTGAAGATACCGATCGAACAGATCTGTTAAGTCGACGCCGACCGAAAACTCGGAGTTGGGTTGAGTGAGCTGTAGTTGTTTCTCTGACTGAGCTTTTTGCTTCAGCAGCAGGTATTCCAGACGTAACTCCGGGGCGGACTTTCCCGAACCAGATATTTCCCATCCTTGTATATTTAAACCTAGAGTGAGAGGAAGAGATGAAGAGTGTGTTAAATAACCTGGTGACACGAGAGAATGGATGGGGAAATAGGAGAAATAAGCGGTTCCAAGTTAGGCATGTTACTGGACCATAAAGGCACAAATGTATGTGTGACGAGAACCATCATTCTCAAAGAAGTTGCTAGCCTAGTCTTTAAACATATAAACGACCGGTGGTTACCGCAACAGATTAAAGAAATTACGGCAATACAGAAGAGAGAAAATAAGTGGCTGATGATCGGTCCTAGTCCACGACTGCGTATCCATTGTTAGTCGTCATAGAAGTGTAGGATGGAAAGTGATGATCACAACAGTCACCTAGATGAGCTCCGGTTTTTAGGCAACAAAACAGACAGCTTTTAATTCGTATAGAGGTAAGTAACAAATGGCATAGTTGAAAGTGCCCCAAAACATGGAACCAAAACCTACAAAAGAGAGATCAGAAAAGTCGAATGCTGTAGTCACACATTAGCGTGAAACGAACATTCATGCATCTTTCAAAGAGACAATGACCAAATGTTTGGCTCACAGTTGGAGAAGGCGCCTATACCTTATAACCAACGCCACCCAGTAACAAGAAATATCTAGGGAGCTGAGCCTACTGGTTATAAGCCAGTCGTGAATAGGCGGAGTTGCAAGAACTGCATAATCCGGAGTCAAAAAGAAGTGTCAGATAACCAATGTAATAAGCTTAGAATAATTTGGAACACGGACATTTGTAGCGGTACAATGTCAAGTGAAGTAACAGGATGCTGATGAACATTAACATTTTATTGGGAAGAATCGTTTACCATAAGCGAAAACACGTGGTTTACGACAAATGCCAATCGGTGTCAGCAGTCAGCTAGCGTATCTCATCAGCATTATGCTGTGTAGTACAACAAAATCGGACGGACCACCGTAATGTAGATTAGCCTTTTTATTATAAATGGACATGCCACTGGAGTTGTTGAACTAAGAGGAGCGCTGGACTAGTTTGTCGTATGTGAGGAATGTCGATGTGCCATCCAAAAGGACTACATCTGCTGACTGGACATAAACTATTGCCTGGCAAAAAATGGGGAAAACCATCGCAGATCGTGGCAAAGCATTTTACTTACATGTCGGGGCGTCAGTATCCTCAAACAAAATCAAGTCCATCAAGACGCATGCGGAGTCACAAGATAGGCTGACGACATCAAAAGAAAAGCAGCCACCTCCCTAACTAGGTGGGAATTTTGCCACACAAAGAGTAAGCTTAATGGAGACAAGTTAAGAAGAGTCTTCCCTTCACAACATTTTCGAAATATCACGTGCAGTAAAACGGACTGTGACAAGTGACAAAAATTAAGACGGTTAAAGACCACAAGAAAAGCGCACAAACAAGAGTGACTGAACTTTCGACGCGAACCACATGATTTACACTGAGCTTAAGGGAATTAAGAAGGAAGAAAATATTGAAATGTCACGTGCATCAAGTTTGTTTGACTTCAGTAAAGCAGCTATACTGACGGATGTATACTGATGACTCCATGGCTGACAGGCAGCACGAAAAACCAGATCTCATTTTTCGGCCATTCTTACATCTTTACTGTTTCATATAGCCTTGACTGGTTTGAAAGCTGGCCATGTATCAGAGTGCCACTGTCATGTCGGAAAACTGGACATCCAGGACATTTTGATCACCACTTCGTCTTAGCTTGGCCATCACTACGAAACTTATCTTTTACCTAGCTCCCATGCCCACTATGAGCTGATGAAACTCATGCACAGTGGTGGGTGGATAACCGGGTCCTACATTTTAAGACACCTTGCTCTTCTTAACTTATAATATTATTCATTCATTATGGCTGGTGCAGTGAAAAAGCCAGAACCAGCAAAACCATAAGTGCACTTGCGCACGATACATTCGAGCTTACGTTAGCTGAACCTCCACTGCTAGATAATGATCTACCTACATCAAACCTATAAAACAGTAAAGGGGAGCCCCGAAAATGGTATAATGGTGAACGATTAGTGTACTCAAATACGAGGAAAACCTATATTCCCACCTAATTCAATCTTAAGGTCTTAGAGCCATGGTCGTCAAGACCCCGCTTAACGGTCTCAGTGAAATTATCGGTACTACAGGCTGCTTCCTATCTTTCCTCTTCTTATCTACTTACTTTTGTTGGCCTAAGCCTTGTATCTCAAGAGTAAAGCGGATCGAAGCCTTTTGCTATCTAGAAGGTAAAAACAGTGGTAGCTTTTGCAGTCTCCACCACATGAATGGCAGGTAGATGAGCTCACATTGGCAAAATGAATATTGAGCTGGCCTGCTGTCTCCATGTGGTCAAGGTTTATGTTACCCAGCACTATACTCTCGATCACTTGAAGGCATAGAGAAACTAGATTTTTCCTTCACTGCATTTCGCTAAGTCTCGGTGTCCTCAAAAGAATGCTCGAGGGGATCATTTCACCATGGACTAATTGAGGCGAGTTCACAGATACTGCGTTTACGAAAGGTCCCGCATGGATCGTTTAGCATGGTCGCAAAGTTACACATGTTAATATTTTTATTTGCAATTACTTATGCATGAAAAACCCGATTTTTCGGCCTTTCTGGTCGCTAGTCGCAACCGCTACTACTATGCTGTGCCCCGGCTTATTACATGCGCCTTGTTACCTAGAATCTACCTACCCGCACTGCTTTTCATGTTTTTCTTTCTTCTTGTCGTGGTTTGCTTGGAAAGCAAAACCACAATTTTAGCGAAAATTAACGTAGGGCGTTATTCGCAGCTTTTCGTAACTTGTTTGTTTTTACTTTTTCCCATTTTCCGCCCTAGGAAGCTCTTTAGGCTGGTTCGGTCGCCCTCCAAGGTCACTCACTGATCTAACAAATGAATGGCACACTGAGTAACTTGCGCACGCTTAAAGAATTGATTTATCTAGTTGCATTATATTTCGCTTAACACATAAAAATTTATGTATAGGCTTACGAATTTTCGCCTTTTGCTACTGTATTCATTTGTTTCACCGTTTAATCTAATTCCCCTGCTCTATTTACACATTTATCGGGAGATTGGCCTGGCTGCTTTGGCCATCTGGAGGAGGAAAATTAAAACGTGCTTCTGTAAGCTGGATCGTGGCTGGAAAATGCAAACTCACACAGGAGACAAAATGCAACCTAGCACTCACATTGCGCGCGCTGTCATCTGCCCGTTTGGAACCTCAGTTACCAAACACCTGACAAATAACACTTGAAAACCACATGCATGGAAATGACGCTTCTGTACATTTTGATTTGGGCCTCTCGGATTGTCTCTAGCAGACGAGAATATACACTTCTTCTTCCTCAGTCCCATGGAAAGGTGTATTGTAATCACAGCTTAACAGTAAAAGAGAACAAGACATCAGCCGTACGCCGCTGGCACATGGTATCAACGCTTTGCCGCCACGCGATCACCAGCAGTCGGACAGAAGCTGGGTATAGCGTGAGGTCGCTTACACCTAAGCGGCGACCCAGGGAGTACAAGGCAGTCGTGCGGTCCTTTCAGCCACCAGCCGACCCATAACACTAGAACTTATACGAAACTAATGAGGCACAAATATTTGAAGCCGGTCCTTACAATAAAGAGCATCGACTGCGAAACGAAGCGCATATTCTCTCAGTGGGCGATCAATCCAACTACAGGGAAATGAAGAATTACGAGATGATTTACTTCTTTTAGCAAACGAAGTCCCACAGAATGGAGGACGTATCGCAGACAGAAGTGCAGCTGAGTGCTGAAGCTGACACAAGAGACTGGCTTGGGTGCAAAATGGAACGCTAGGCTATTGACATAGGCCAAGTAATGGCAAACTGAAGGCCTGGTAGCTACGTGTGTGCATACGCGCTGCATCTAACTACATTGATGATGCAACCTCGCATGGTGGTGAAACGTTTGTAACCAAACTGCCAGGCTCGGAAAACGAATAAACAACAAAGTGTACGTACATGCTGTCAAATGCGGAAGATAAAGGACAGCCCTGATGTGACATCAAAATGGCCATATCAGTGAACCACGCACAAACAGCACAGTACAGCAGCACAGTACACTGTTACATCCAGAGCTCAAGCTGGGACCAGTCATGTAGGGTTACAAATGCGTGAAGAAACTGTATTCGTGAACTGACTACTACAGATGAGATAATTGTATAGATTGATGTAACCACTAGATAGTTACAGTGGAGACCCATCGACGGGTAAAATATTGCTACTTATTCCCAGTATCATGTAAGCAGTAGGCGCAAGAAGAACAACGAGGCACTTAGTAGGTCGAATAAGCGTACTGAATAATGCACGCAAAGACTGAATCAGACCAAATGAAGTCATACTACCGAACCAATGGTTGCGGCTAAGGTCCCGCAGGTAATACATTCACTTAGATGCATAGTAAGCCCAGGTTATTGGGTGGGTATGGTAAGGAGAACGAGTCCCCTTTGAACGGAATGAGCAACCAAGGAACATCACATGCATAAGGAAATTCTTTCCTCATATTTTTTTCGCATTCATTGCGCACTTCAAAGGGAAACAAAGTTCCTGGGCTGGTGGACGACTGGATTCGAATGTGAAATCGAAAAACTGGGTTCATCACACGTGGTCGATCTCTTGACACGATCACACCATCCGCAAACACACTATACTCTTATATTACTCGTGATATATATATATATAAATATATATATAAATATATAAATATATAAATATATAAATATATATAATATATATATATATAAATATATATAAATATATATATATATAAATATAAATATATATATATATATATATATATATATATATATATATATAATTGTGCTATATAGCTTATGAACTAATGGGATGTATGCCATAAAAAATTACATCTAAAAATCCTGCTACTCACGAGTAATATAAGAGTATAGTGTGTTTGCGT